ACTGAACTTAGACTTTAATGGTGGGCATTCAAAAGGACACCATGAATATATAACTCCACTTCAATGAGGAGTTCAAATGTCACACTTTATTCTTAATGAGTAACAGAATCGGTACTTCCATTTTTTAGGGTAAACTGCAGAATATGGCCAGATATTCTAAGATTAGTCATGCATATACATGTAGACATGGCTCAGAATCAGCACTTATCTAGTGTTGGCAAGGGAAAGCTGGCCTTTGAATTATTAGTAAAAACCATATTAACTATGCTCATCATATGATATTGAACTGATTAATAGGCTTTGGATATAGGACTAGATCCAGCTTAAGTCCTAGTTTTCATTCTAAGCTTTCACCTCACATGATTTTAGGAACATTACTTAGCATTCTCTGCCTTAGTTTCCTGACCAACATTGAGTACATTGTCTACCAACCAGTAAAATCTGAGGAGGTAAGATGAATTAAAATGTGTTTGAATGTTTATAAGAAAAGTATCAATATGATAGCTATCTGCAAAGTATTTTAATTAGGTATGAATTAACTACAGTGGCTTAGGAATAGTGCCCATTTGATTCCATAGCTGGCCTTAATTAAGTATAACTTTTATTTATTCACAAATGAAGCAGGAACCTTAAAACAGACAAATTAGCCCCATGTATGTTATTTTCTGTGTGAAGTTAAAGTATTTCTGAAGTTGAAATTTTTACTAATTTTGGGGTCTTGAGTTTTCTCCACAAAATTCCTTTTGGTCTAGTTTCCTTTATCCTCTCTCTTAGGGAAGCAGTTATAAAAATAGGTGTTGGCTGAGGTGGGTGAGGGGACTAAAGCTGGCTGAACATAGAAATCCAACCTGGAAGAAATTAAGATGACTTCACAAAGGCACACCAAAAGACAATGTTTCCTTAAGGATAACTGGCTGTAAATGGGATAATAGTTACCTACTGAATATAACCTTATGCTTAGAAGCATTTATCACTGTTCTGTAACTCTTTCATATTCTCTTCTACATTTACTGTGGCCGGAAGAGAGGTGCTTCAGTGGGAGAACATGTTCAATAAATAATTAGAGCAATGCCTGTGCGCTTCACACTTGACAGTGTCATTTCCATATATAGAGTCTCATTTCCACAGCTATATAAGTCAACCTATCAACTTTTAGTAGGATAAACTTTGGCATGTGGGTTACCTTGGACCACAACAAAAAATGCACCACTATCCATGTTATTAAAATGGTTCCATCTGCCACTGCGAGGCTGAAATCCCAGGGGCACCATCTCTTACTCTCAGTGGGCTCATACCCAATGGTTGAAGAAGACTGCTTTGGAAAGTTAAAATTCATGCTGTGGTCAGAAGCTTTCTCCTTTCAACAAGCTGCTTTGAGGTATTCCAAGGGTTGGTATAACCAGTTCCTTCCCCACAACTGCAGAAGTGTCTTTCCTATGTTGAAGGGAGAAGAGGTGATGTGGACTGAGACCTCAGACACCTTGGAGTTTGCAACTCCACAACATAGTGATGAGGTCAGGACTTTTACTATGGTCATGACCCATACTGAATTGTATTCCAGTAATATAAACCTAGAGACTATTGTAGAAAACAAGCTCTGTGGACTCAGACGGACTATTTTAAAGCAACATGAAATCTGTGAACATGATTGAGGATCTGAATTTCCAGAGAGGATTAGGATGCAAATATAGTTGATATTTAAGGTGGCTGCATACCCATGATTGACAGAAATGGCCAAGAAGGCAGTAGGTCATGTCATTGCTTCCTAATTAACTCACACATATAATAGTCCTTCAGTGTGATCAGTGAAACAAGCATAGAGGGGCCATAAGGCAGCATTTGCTGTTTTGTTTTCAAAGTATTTAAGTATGTAATCTAATAAAAGCTACCACAGTTTGTTCAATTGGATGCAAAGTGCTTTTAATTTACACAGCATTGATTTGAAGGACACCTTCTCTGATATAATTGAACAAAAATAACCTACCTTAAACCTTTTGAATTATACTGTCCTGAGACCATAGCAGAGATAAAAAAAAAAAAGGTAGGAGCTGTAAAGTTAACATGCCTGTCACTGGGCAGCTGTCTCAGGTACACAAATGAAGGCTTGCGCTCTGCTAGTGGAGCCACAATGGGGGAAAATAACTTCCTGGGTAATTTTATGAAAGGAGAACATAGTGCAGTAGTAAAGTGTTAGAAGAAATGGAGTGTCTTCAAATGCAAATTTCTTGACATTTCACAGCTACTAAAATAGTTACCCTAGCTTGGTGAACTAATAATTACTTAGTTAAATGTTTCATTTAGTATAACCAAATGTAATGCAAAAGGCACATACTGTGATAAACACCATTTCCACTTTCGGGCTTGCTGAGGGTGGGTTTTCTTTCTTTTCTTTATCCCACACATCAGAATGTCACAAGCAATTAGATGTAATTATTTATGGGAAACGGAGAGGTAAGAGGATCCGGCAGTGCTGTGCAGCTCCTGTGCAAATGGTGCCCCCATTCTGAGCACTGAAGAGAGGAGCTTTGGCATCTCCATGAAGTAATTGTTCTTTTAAACTACTGAAGTACATTTTGTTGCACTAAACAAGTTTATTTAATGAACACTTAAAAGTCAAAACCATTTCATTTTTATGTATCAATGGAAAAACTACATTGAGTATCTAGAAAGGTTAAAGGAAACCTTTTGAAATAATAGTGAGTCTTTGAATCTGTTAGTATTCTGCATTAGGTACTTGGTAAGCACTCTGGAAATCAAATGAGAGAAAACATCACCTCAGGGCACAGGAAACCTTTTGAGAAGTAATTTGGGAATATGAATCAAATACCATAAAACTGTTTATATTGCTTAGACCCAGTAATTTTACCTTAGTGAATTTAGGCTAAGAATCTTTAATACTGAGAGAGGTTTATGCACCAAGATGTTTATTATAATATTATTCATAATAACAAATTAATTAGAAGCATTTCTCTTTTGTTGAATATTAACTGAAAGGAAAATTATACTACCTAAAAAATAATGCTTGCCAAAGTTAGACAGCAATGTAGAACATTCTTATGATGTACTAGAAGTACAAAAAGCCTAATATAAAATTATGTGTGCAATAGAATTGTAATCATGTAACAGTCAGTAAGCATACATTAAAAATACTGAGGATACATATGAAGGTGCTAGGTAGCATATGCTGTATTTGGATATGGGTAATTTTCAGATCTTTTTGGTTTTTCAAATAATGTATAATTTTTAAAAACAACTTCTTGCCCTGGCTGGTATGGCTCAGTGGATTGAGTGCCAGCCTGCAAACAAAAGGGCTGCCAGTTCAATTCCCAGTTAGGGCACATCCCTGGGTTGCAGGTCTGGCCCCCAGTGGAGGGCACTCGAGAGGCAACCACACATTGATGTTTCTCTCCCTCTGTTTCTCCCTCCCTTCCTCTCTCTCTAAAAATAAATATATAAAATCTTTTTAAAAATTCTTGAATTTAAACATCCAATTGTTGTGCTTAATAGCTAGTTGTATTAAATTGAACTCTTCTCTTTCCTAAAACCACTTCCTATGTAAATACACTCATGATGGTTAATTAGTTACTTACAAATGGAAAACCAGTCTGGCTGAAGTAAATTCACTCTAATTAATGTAGACCTCACTAATTAAAGATTAACAGAAATTCATAGATTTGAGATTCTTACAGCATGAAAAGCCCTAAACAAATAATATGTTAGAATTTTAAATTTTGTAGTTATAATACCTCATTTCATAGAAATAGGTATATAACAAATGGTAGTTTTCTGGTGAGCTTATTTTAATTAACTTTCTTTTTATGATTATGCAATAATTGTATTTGAAATTGTAATTCCTAATATATAATATATAAAGGTATATTATGTAAAAATATAAAAATAATTAAATAAAAAACAAAGCTCATTTGCCTGGTAAAGTTTGTGAAACACACGAATTGATTTGTATAGCTTATTAGGTTCAGAATACAACAAAATACCACCATTTGTTTGTAATTAAATTTTTTATAAATTAAACATTTATATATAATTGACAATTAAAATGGAAGGTAGGTAAACTTTTGCTTCCTCCACTATCGTTTATGTAGCAAAGTCTAAAGTATTATTACATAATATTTCCCAGAATTTCTTTCTCCCTCCAATCACTAAGAATTACTTATAAAATAACTAACAGAATCAGTTATCTTGTGACTTTTAAATGCAACCATTTGTTGCACTTTTCGATGGACATTTTCAAACCAGTGCTTTAATTAGCATGTTAATTGTCTAAAGCTATGTCATCCTTAAAGAAGAACTGAATCTGATTGATTTCAAATGTCTTAAAAACATCATGTTTTAATAACCAGACTGTTTTTTAAAGTGAAACTGTCTTCAACAGTTTTTTAAAATATATTGTTTTTCTTAAATATGCCTGTTTTGTGGCTTGCTTTAATTTTATATTCATTTGAAGATTTGCCATAAAAACATTTGGTGCCTAGTTTTTACATGCATAAAACTCCAAAACCACCAAGTTCTGATTGATTGTAGTCATAAACTCTAAAGATAAAGCATACTCTCTATTTTCTAAGGAAAAGCAACTCATGATTTAACTATGAGAAGGTAAATACCTTTTTCGTCTGATTGTAAATGACAAAATATTAATTTTATTTTTATTCATCAAATTTAAGGAATAAATATAATTGGTGTCATGGACCTACTAATGTCATTGATATTAATGATATAAATATTTACTGAATGTCTAATAAAAGTAAATAGGATGCATTCATCTCTCCTATTTTGTTGACATAAATTGCACTTAGAATTATGTTATAAATACTTAATAAAGTACAAACAATTTTTGACAGTCACTCAGTCAATATTTATTTCGGACCCATCATATACTAGCCTTCTGAGATACAGTGGTAACTTTGTTGATTTTGAATGTTTACTTCTGTAAATAGATTTTACATATAAGCAATTTAAAAATAAATATTTAAACAACTTACCTTTGGTTCCTTGAACTTGGAGAAAAATCCAAAAAACAAAAATAGCCCTCCTAGTTTCCAAATACATTCTGACTTTTGTGCATTGGTAAATTTGGTAACAGTCACAGAACAGCCCCAAATCTCATTTTAAAAAAAGACAGAAATATGGAAAATAATTAAATATTGATGCAAGCTGAGTGAGGATAACCTTCTTGATTTACTTTAGGAAGGTGCCAATTTATGAAGAACAGGAGGCAGTGTCTGTTTCTGGAATAATCTGATATCTTCCCCTCAGGTGTAATCTCTGCGTAAGGGCCAGCTGGAGGGACCTTTATCTCATTAACCTTCTGGAAGAGCATCTGTCAGCCTAGCTCCAGGACCCTGGATGCCATTATAAACAAGTGTCCACAGACAGAAGGAATGCTTCTTTTCTTAGTTACTCACCTGTTACAGTGACACAGAGAACCAGGGGAGGTGCTGCCAAATGCAGGGGAAGGCTGACAGCTAGGGTCAAATGTTTGCCAAAACGACACTTGCAAAGAACATCCACTGAGAGAGTTTAATTGCTATCCCTGGAAGCATGGCTATTCGATATGCATCAGTCTCCAGAGACGGCAAGGCTCAGGGAAATGTGCTGCTTTGTAAATTTTGTTCTTTCTGTAATTACATATAGATGGCTTTGTTTTTTTTTTCAAGGTCTGGTTTTAATTTTTTAAATTTGTTATTTGTGCACAGAGTATAGTCCAATAGTTCTACAAAGTTTGTGAAAAATGATACTGCCATACCTCCATTCAAAAGCAATCACTTCTAATCTTCAAGTATTCTTATTTGTACCTGGAAATAGTATGCTTCTATTATCATTTTTTTCATTTTTCACTTTTAGAACATTATCAAATAGTGAATATTGAAAATATCTTCTCTTCCACACACACCCTCCCCGCTCTGTATAAACATGTACTTGCTCCATCCCTTCACCCACCTCAGTGTCACTGTATTTTCAGTTTATTGTGCATACAGTTTAACATTATTGTGACTGTACTCATGCTACGCATAACTGAGCCATGTACTATACTGTAATTATTAACATGTATTGAGCTTTTATGTTGTGACAGGCACTGTTCTTAGATATTTCATAGATTATATATTACTTAATACAACATTAGGAGATAAACACTATTATTGCTATCTCTGTTTTAGTTGTATACTTGAAGAAATTAAGGTATATGTGGCAGAGCCAGGACTTGAACTTAAAGAAACTGGTTCAGGAGCCTATACTATTAATTGTTATCTCCTCTGATGCCATTTGCTGTTGTCTAATTTGTTTCCTCCTCATTTTATAGATGCAAAACAATAAATTATCTCCAGATGTTACCCCGGATGTGTAAATTTCCTCTCCATATGGTTAAACACTTCAGGTAATCTGTCTTCCCAGGACTTTCTAACCTGCTGCAAGCTCTGTTGTTAAATTTCTTGTCATAGTTCTCAGCAAGCATCTGAAAATCTCCCTTCACAATCATCCTGGGGACTCCTTTCACCTTTCTTGTGTTGAATCTCAAGTTCTCCAGACCCCATGTTGCCTCCTTTCTTAACCCGACCTCTTGTTTTAGCAGAGCACATGCTCCAGCAGATTACTGAAAGTTCTCAGTAAATAGATGTGAGATCTTATGTCTGAAAATGGCTGCTATTCATCCTCATCCTTGACTGAGAGTTTGGCCAGTGTTGCACACTCAATGTTTGTGTCCTCCCAAAATTCATGTGTTGAAAACTAAATTCCAATGTGATGGTATTTGGAGGTGGGGCCTTTGGGAGGTGATTGGGCCCTGAGGGTTAAGCCCTCATGATGGATTAGTTCCCTTGTAAAAGCTGCACCAGGGAGCTCCTTTGCTTCTTTCTTCCTGTAGGCACAGCGACCAGCCAGATCTCCATGAACCAGGGGGTAGTTCATCATCAGACACCGAATATGCCTGCAGTTTGATCTCAGAGTTCTCAGCATGTAGAATTGTAAGAAATAAGTTTCTGTTTTTATAAGCCACTCAGTCTATGGGATTCTGTTATAATAACCTGAATGAACTAATACAACTGGGTATAGACTTTGAGGTTGGAAGTAACATTCACTTAGAAGATTGAAAACATTAATCCACTCTCTTTTAGCTTCTGTGCTGCTAAATTTGGAGTCCTTATTGCTCTTGATTCTTTGCATAGGATCTTTTTTTTCTCTGGAAGCTCATAGAAAGTTTTCTTTTCCTCTAATGTTCTGATATTGCGTGGTTGCAGGTCTATTTTAATCCATTACATAGGACATTTATAGAACCTTTAATCTGGGTATTTATGTTCTTCAATTATTGAAAACCTCTCTTAGGTATTTGATTTCCACCTTTCATTTTTTATATTATCTTTCTAGAATCCATATTATTTAGATAATAGCATTCTTGCACTGGCTCTTTAACTTTTACTGTCTATTTTTTCTTCTATTTTCCTCTAATTCTTTATGCTCTGATTTCAAGTAAATTTTCTCAGTATTTTAACCCTTCTTTGGTTTTTAAATATCTACTGTCATTTACAGTTTCTGGGAAATCATTCTTGGTGGTTTCTCTTGAATTTTTTTGATTTTTTATTTTTAGTAAGATACTGTTTTAGAATTTTAAGGATACAATTTCTTTTATCTCTTTAAAAATATTTAACAGTTTCAAAAATTATTTTCTTCTTAGGTAGCTTTTGTTTCTTTCAAGCTGTATATTTGAATTTCTTTTTCATTTTCTATTTTTTTTTATGTTAGAAGCTTTTCTCAAAGATCTGGTAATCCTTGGTTGACCATGCACATACATTTAAATGTGATGATAACTGCTGACAGCTCTGTGCATGAGGTCAGAACTTGACAACTGTGGTTCTCTTGTAGGCTGCTCTGGTTGGGCTACTTCCTTCTTAGGCTTTCCAGATAAAATACAGACTGCCCAGTTAAATTTAACCTTAAGATAAACAACAAATAATTTTTTAGTATAAATATGTCACAAATATTTCATGTGACACACTAAAAATTGTTTGTTTATCTAAGATTCAGGTTTAATGGGGTGTTCTATATTTTTATTTGCTATATCTGGCTATACTCTTTCTAAAATACCTGAATTCAGTGTCTTTAAATATTTCATCTTCAGGTGGTCATATATTCCAGAATAGACTACTAATCTGTTGGTTTTAGGATAAAGACTAACTCTCAATGTATCAGTGCATAAGCTGAGGAAGATGTCTGGGACCTTAATATTCTTATGTATATTTAATTCAATTTTCCTGTTTTCAGAGAAGCACCCTCAGTCTCACATCTGCCCGATATTTAGTAGTCCAAAGAATGTTTCACCCTGCTAAAAAATAAACCTTCAGCCTTCTGTTGGGTGGCCAAGAGACAGTTATATAACTGAATAGGATGGGAAAGGAGATTTGGGGCTCTAATTAATTATTAGCTGTTTCAATTCATTCTTCTATTTTTCACCCAATCCTTCCATTAATTTACCACTATTACCAGAGGTATATGGAATGTCTTTAAAATATATAAAAATAAATATTAATATATTTATGTAACATATATGAATAAATATAAATTGAGTTGTTTCTGAGCTTTCTCTACTGCCACTTTAAGATTTGCCCCTCTAGGTTTGTATTTTAAAACTTTGCTTAAACCTACATGTCCAGCTTAATAAAATTATTAGGAAGTGAAAACTAGTAATATACAGGTAAAAACAGAGAATATTAATAGCACTCCACCATGATCTCCCCTAACAAACACAAATTTTCTTCTCCATTAAATGTGCTTATTATTCTGATGTGTATGATAATGATTTATTTGCTTTCCTTAATTCTTTCACTGCTTAACTATACATCTATAAGCATCGTAGTTTACTTTTTGCCTATCCCACCATTATTTATCTAAAAGATTATCATTTTTCCTACTGGTCTGAAGTTCCATCTTTATCATAAAATCTGTGTATGTCATGAACTCATGTAGTTCCAACTCTTTGCTCCCTCCTGTTTTATTATATTGACTCATCTTTTATCTCACTATTTTCTCTTCAGCTGGATATAATGTATTGTCTTTAATTTTTGTATTTGTATTTTTTTTTAGTTTGGGATTTCAATTTGGTTCTTTTACAAGTCTGCTTCATCATTTTTAAAAATAGTTTATACCTCTGTGCTAAAGTTTTAAATCTAGTCTTTTATCTCATTTAATATAGTAAGAATAGTTTGATAATTTCAAATTGTGGAGCTCTGGAGGTTGTTTCTATTACCTTGCTTTCTCTGTTTTTTATTTGTTATTCTCATATCTCCTTGTATAAGTGGTTATGTTTTCTTATTTTATGTCAGGCATTATATTTTAAGAGTTGTACTACAGAAAGCAAGACAATCTGGTATTGGTAAAAGAATATACACAAAGATCAATGGAACAGAATACAGAGCCCAGAAGTAGAGCCACACAAGTAGTTGAATGACTTTTGACAAAGTTGCAAAAGCAAATTAATGGAAACAGGACTGTCTTTTCCAAAAAATAATGTCATATGCCACACCTCCAAAAATAAACAAACAAAAATAAAACAAACAAAAATCTAGAAACAGACATTGCCCTTTATACAGAAATGAAAAATGGATCACACAGATAAATATACAATAAATTTAAAAATTCTAGAAGAAAATATAAAAGCAGATCCATTAGATCTTTAGGCTTGGTGATGAGATTTTGGATATAACATAAAAGCATGATCCATGAAACAAAAAAATGATATTCGATTTTATTAAAACAAAAATCTTCTGAACTGATAAGAGACTATAAACAAAATTAAAAAGTAAGCCACAAACTTGGAAAAAACATTTACAAAATACATTTCTGTGAAAGGAATTGTACCCAAAACATACAAAGAAAACTAAAACTCAACAATAATAAAACCTAACAACTCAATTAAAATTGAGCCAAAGATCTGAATGAGACACCTTTCTGAAGAAGGTGCATATGGTTCTTTTAACAAGCATATGAAGAGATGGTCAACTCAGCACCATCACTAGGAAATGCGAAAAGAAACATCAATGAGATACCTCTACATACCTATTAGAATGACTAAAATTAGAAAACAAATGGCACTACCAATTGCTGGCAAAGATTCAGAGCAATAGAAACTGTTATTTATTATTGGTGGGAGTGCAAATTGGTGTAGATACTTTACAGAACTAAACACAGTCTTATACAATGCAGCAATGACTTCCAGGTATTTACTCAACTGA